CCCCCCCCCCCCCCCCCCCCCCTGTCGAATGCTCTTTGCGGCTATATAATAATTGTATGCACAAATTGCAGGAAAGAGTTTCAAAAGGCCCCACAAGCCCGAGCACTGACACCAGACTCCCCCGTCACTCAGCCGAGAGTTCAATGTCATTGGCGTGGGGTAGGGCAGGACAGGAGACTGCAGGTCTATTGTTGAGACCATTATCCCCTGCTGCTCACACACACACATACACACACACGCACGGATAGAGCATACAAATCTGCATACATACATATGTATCTATGTGTATGCATATCGAGGGCTGCTGTTGGAATGACACATGAATAGATCGTGAGGTGGGGGAGGGGATTGCCGGGAGTATCGCCTGACCGAGAGAGCACTTGTCTTCCTTGCAGGCGGCCATTTGTCAGCAAATTGTGGTTGTGCCGTGCATGTTTTGTGTACTGCAACACTCATTCCCCCATGGTGAAGTTTGATTGGCACGTACGTCGCTGAAACGGTTATACTCGTATATTTTCTCTTGTTGATTTTCTGATTTATGCGGGACACTTCCTTGTGCAACCTGGAAGTGAATCGTAAAAGTACAGTGGAGACCCGTCCGCAAGGGACAGAACAAGTCCAGCCTTTCAATAACGATGTGTGAGTCGCTTCGTGTCCTCACTTTAGCTGCAATTCCTTAATGCTGAGAGAGCGTTCGGCCTTTCGCTCCCTCAACGTGACTCGGAGCATGTGGGGGGTATTGATGACTCACTCTCGGCTTGTGTTTGAGTTGGTTTACATCATTATTGTGTATGAGTGAGTGTATGCAAAGTGCCGAACCCAACACCGTTGTTGTCATTGAGTAGTGTTGTTGTCTCGGCTTCACTTTGCTTTGGCTCTCCTCTCCCCACTTCATCATGTGTTTGCGTTAGTTATTTAAGCATTGTGCGACGGGGCTGAAAACAGCATTTTAATAAACCTCATCACCAGCAGCAGCAGTAGTAACAAAAACAACAACTACATGCTGAAACAAGTGCAACAATGCAATTTTCTTCTGACTTTGTGTTGTGATATACCCTTGCAAAGGGTACTACTATATTTAAGAGAAATTTGAAAAGTAAAGGGAAAAGCCGCAGCAAACATAAGATACGATCAATCTGAAAGAGTATCAAACGCTTCGTCGTCAAAAAGTCGCTTTTCTCATATTACGCCTTATGCCATCACACTCAAACCAAGAGGGGGGGGGGGGGGGGGG